AATACCATGGGGATCTCATAGAGATCACTGATGCTAAAAAGCGAGAAGCTCTGTATGCCCAAGACCCATCCACAGGTTGCTATATGTACTACTTTCAGTATCTAAGCAAAACATACTGGTAAGCTTTGGATTCTATTCATTTTAAAGTCTATTTAAGGAATGGAATAAGTGGATGAAGATTTGAAGGTGCTCGATCATTCAGTTTTCCTGTTAAATTTTGAACTTGGAATTTTTACACTTATGTGGAGAGACTGGCTTTTCATTCCCACTGCTTAAATATTCAAAACTACTTGTTAGGCATCTTGTCTGATTATAATGTGTGAAATTGGAATTAAGACAACATGGCTTAGTAGATAGAACTGGGATTTGGTTTTTCTAGAGCAGTGAGGGGCAACCCAGGCTAATGAGTGGGCCACAAGTGGCTCTCCATCTCAATGGACAGCATGATTGTCCTAACCAAGACAATCTCCTGAGATAGGGTAGTTTGCAAACTGCATGCATGTACCTAGAATTTATGGGATGTGCCAATTAAACCGTATCCCTGCTCTGATTGGATGCAGAGAGAACACACAGGCTCTCAATGTTGTGCGCAGTCAGCACACACCTCACTTCACATGCCTTTACTTCAATAAATAAAGTGATAGTTTTTTTTTTTCTACCAGTATTAAATTCTATGCAGATGACAACTATCAAAATTGGGCAACCATGTACGTGACCCACTGTAAATGTCTCATCGGCATAGAACCTCAATAGACCACATGTGGTTCTTGGGCAACAGATTACCTGTCCCTGCTAGAGCAACTTGGTTAAGCTTATTCCGCCTTTCAGGGCAGTGGTGGCATCAGGGTAGGTAGCTTTAAAACAGACAAAATATACTATGTGGAGATGGATGGCAGGAAAGAGATCTCTTGATCATTATGGCTGTGTCTAGACTGGCATGATTTCGTGCAAATACTTTTAACGGAGAAGTTTTTCTGTTAAAAGTATTTGTGCAAGAGAGCATCTATACTGGCATGTGCCTTTGCACAAAAGATTTGCTTTTGCGAGTGTAGATGCTCTCTTGCGCAAGAAAGCTGCGATGGCCATTTTAGCCATCGGGCTTTCTTGTGCAAGAAATTAACTTGGCTGTCTACACTGGCCCTCTTGCGCAAGAGGGCTTACCCCTGAGTGGGAGAGTCGGAGTATTTGCGCAAGAACCACTGATTTTGTACAGTACAGTCAGTGTTCTTGCGCAAATACTCGTGGCCAGTGTAAACAGGTGGCAAGATTTTGCGCAAGCAAAATCTTGTCAGTCTAGACGCACCCGACCTATTCGATTCACTCCCTCTGGGACACCTGGCATTGGCCAATGTCGGCGGACAGGCTACTGGGCTGGATGGACCTTTGGTCTGACCCAGTATGGCCGTTCCTATGTTCTTAAGCAGCAGTGCAGGGTGGCAGCAGCCTCTTGTCTGGGGGGAAGGGAGGCTGAGCTCCCAGATCTGGTGTGAGCCTGCCTGGCTCCTAATACGCTTTAAATGCAGAGCTGCAGCAGAGGAGGGTCCCGGTCCCGGCATGAGCCAGGCTGTTAAAACATTTACTGGCAAGTGTGGGGGGGGGAGGAAGATGTGTGTCATCTATAGCACTAACCTATCAGCTTTTGCTAATCGGTTAGTCGACCACGCTGTTACATCCCTAGTCTGCAGGAGCAGCTCCCGCACTACTCCCCTGTACCCTGCTAGCTGTCACTCACACGTCACGAGCAGCAGCATAAAGGCCGTGGCAGTCACAGGTGCCTGATGTTGTTGTGATCCACGGCAGCACACTACAGAAGAACGGCCATACTGGGTCAGACCAAAGGTCCATCTAGCCCAGTGGCCTGTCTACCGACAGTGGCCAGCACCAGGTGCCCCAGAGGGGGTGGACTGAAGACAATGATCAAGCGATTTGTCTCCTGCCATCCCTCTCCAGCCTCTGACAGACAGAGGCCAAGGACACTATTCTATCCCCTGGCTAATAGCCTTTTATGGACCTAACCTCCATGAAATTATCTAGTTTCTCTTTAAACTCTATTATAGTCCTAGCCTTCACAGCCTCCTCTGGCAAGGAGTTCCACAGGTTGACTACACGCTGTGTGAAAAACTTTCTTTTATTAGTTTTAAACCTGCTACCCATTAATTTCATTTGGTGTCCTCTAGTTCTTCTATTATGGGAACTAATAAATAACTTTGCTTTATCCGCCCTCTCCACACCACTCATGATTTTATAGACCTCTATCATATCCCCCCTCAGTCTCCTCTTTTCTAAACTGAAAAGTCCCAGTCGCTTTAACCTCTCCTCATATGGGACCCGTTCCAAACCCTTCATCATTTTAGTTGCCCTTTTCTGAACCCTTTCCAAGACCAAAATATCTTTTTGCACTAGGTTGCTGCTGCATCTGGGAGCAGCAGGCTGTGGCAGGACGTCGCGTTTGGGCTTGGGACAGGGGCGCCGAGTGGCGGGAGCACGTCATGGGGCAGGTCCGGGATGACAAGCGGCGGCTGCGGGACTCTGGGTGCGGAAAGCCGCCTTCCTGGCACCGGGTGCTGCGCTCGCCCCGCCCGGGGACCCAGGGGTGCCTGAATGAGAAGCGCCCCCTTGGCGGAGAAGTGCTCGGTGGCTGCAGCGTGGACGCTGGCCCCCCCAG